TGTAGTCCATATGTAGGCATAGGACCACAAAGGGACAGAGCAAGTTGGATTAGAAGTTGAAGGTGCATACTGCATACTGTAAAGGGAATGTACTTTGGCCTAGTTCAGACCCTCTTTGTTTCTGGGCTAAAATACTCATTTCCTTTTCTATATATGTATTATTATATAATATAGATTCAAAGGTACTGATTAAAGAGGCAATAATTGGTGGATTGAATGGAATTAATAAATAGGGTAAGGTTCAGCAAGTGTTGTTTGCGACCTATCATTACAATATGGTAGCTCCTACTATTTTTTTCACGTGTAGTTGCATCTAGCTATGTCTCTTTCATTTACCATATCACATTCCTATTTCAATTTTAATAATAAGGTGTATATATAACATCAAATAGACCTGCATTTCTCCTAAGAGGCAGACTTGTTTAAAAGTTGTGCAGTCTGTTATTGCCTAGCGGGATCAGGTCACCATTCGGTGACATAGTCTAGGAATGAATATCCGTAACTCTCATTTTTGTATTTAAACTGACAAATGGAATAAATAATTAAGACGTGACTTAAGGTTAATCCCTCAACACTCAGGGTCAGGAACAGGAAAAGGAGAATGAGAGCAGTACTTAGGTAATAATATTGCTTGACACATTTTGCCAAATTAGAATATTGAAGTCTATGAGTCGATCAGAATGCCCTTGTAGCTTATAACATCTCGCGTTTAGAGACAAGATTCAGGATTTAAAATTTATGAGTTTTTATACTAACCTTCAATTAATACTACAATAATAACTGGTTTCATAATAAAAAATTAATAAAAATTTGGTGAATTCCATTATAAAAAAGCATATCCACGCAAAAACTAATGGGTACACGTGAATCTGTAACCAGTACAATATATCCGCCCCTACTCAAGTTATAGTTTCATGATCAGAATCTTATAAAACATGCATGTCTATATATCCTCGTTGTTACAAATGAAAAAAGCTTTAAGTAATATATACTAAACGGTATAAAAATATTTATGTAATCAAATCATTTCAAAATTGACAAGAATCTTATTTAAAGATATACTGAGAAGTATAACAGTTAATGTCTTAAAATATCAGGCGGTGATTAGTAGTTAAGGTTAGGTATGAAAAACAGTTGCATCATATATTCATATGGTTCATAAAATAAATCTAAGTTTTTATTATATACTAAGATTTGATGCTTTAATGAAACCGGATATGCACGAGACAACAATATCGGTTGGTTGGTTCTTGCCTTTCCTCTTTCTCTGATTCAGAAATCACTCCTATGAAAATATGAACTAAAGTATTTTATCCATTTCGCACCATTATTTTGTGACCCCAACTAATCCAACTTTGCGTTACATAAAGTTCATTAAAAGTGAAAACGTTCTCAAGACCTCCGGTTAAGGATGGAGGAATCCTATCCGTCACAACACATTTCATTATGATAACTAGAGTATTTAATACAACTACCCTTTCTTAATTTAGGATCTCTCCAGGGTAAAATAGTAGTTACATGCATATCACTGCATATGGGCACCTGCCACAGATCTTAAGTCAGTATAATATTCTAATATAGTATGCTTATTTTTTACCATCCATGTGATCTTTTTCCAGAAAATTTTATTCCAAATATAAATTTTGATTACAAAAGATAATTGGTGTTGTCATAATCAAGAGTTTACAACTATTATGTTTGACATCTGATAGAATTTCATTTGAAGAACCAAGCTACTTTTGAACTACTACAAAAATATCTTTGGTGAATAAACTTTTAGCAACTTTATAGTAATTTTTTTAGAATACTTCTGTTCTACAACATACTATTTGATGACACAACGGGAAAAGAAAAAAAGTAGTAAAATGTGTTGTTTCTGGTTTTTCATGTATAAAATTGTTTGCAAATTTTTAAAATGTAGTTGTGAAATCTTGGCATGTGTTTAGACTCCAAAAAATGGCCAGAGTGTCAGATACCCTTTGTGTCTATTCTTTCAATACAATACATCATGGCATATGGGAAGAGGGCAATTGCTAGACTTAGGATCAACCTCTAGATATAGCAAACAATGGCCCATTTTTCATTTCTTGTACAAAAGACATTTGGAACATCAGGTTGAATATTACCTTAACTTGTATACACTGAACAGTAACTAAATTATTTTTGTACTATCATGTCATTTAGAACAATCAAGAAGTGAAATTAGTAACCTAAAAAATAAGGCTAGTAACCTTTTACATCATTGATTATGTAAAAATTCATTTATATTGTAGCTACAAGTAAGATCCAGATACGATAAAGGGTCAAATATACCCATGTACTTTCGAAAAAGGTTTAAATATATTCTTCGTTATACTATGAGTCCAAATATACCTCTGCCGCTATACTTTGGGTTTAAATATACCCCTCATTTAAACGGAGGGACACGTGTCATCCTCCTATTGGCCAATTCTAAATATTTCTTAATTAATTAAAAAGACACATATTCATACCCGAAATATTTGTAAAAATTGCTTTTAAAAAACGGATATTATTTTTTGTAAAACTAAAAAAAACAATTCAACAAAATATTTTTTTTTCCAGTTTTTACAAAAATATTGCTCTAAAAAAACTGAAAAAACTGAAAATAGTTTTTTGTTAAAACTGAAAAAAAAGACTTTTTCTAAAGCAGTGGACTACAAGTGCATTAGTTTTAAAAAAAATAATTTTTTTTGTTGAATTTGTTTTTTTATTTTTACAAAAAAAATTCAACAAAATACTTTTTTTCAGTTTTTACAAAAAAGATGCTTTAAAAAAACTGAAAATATTTTTTTGTAAAAACTGAAAAAAAATATTTTGTTGAAATATATTTTTCAGTTTTTACAAAAAAAAAATTTCTTCAGTTTTTTCATTTTTTTAAAGCAATTTTTACAAATATTTCGGGTATGAATATGTGTCTTTTTAATTAATTAGGAGATATTTAGAATTGGCCAATAGAAGGATGACACGTGTCCCTCAGTTTAAATGAAGGGTATATTTGGACTCATAATATAAAGAAAGGTATATTTAAACCTTTTTCGAAAGTACAAGGGTATATTTGGCCCTTTACCGATCCAGATAATGCAAAGTGATGAGTTGGTTATTAGTTTTATATATAGTTTTGAGTTCAAACTATGTGGGCCGGTATTTTTTAATCCTAACCCTAAAAAAAAAGGGTCGTCGGTTCCTGTTATCAGGTCACCAATTTTCTTGACCTTCCAACAACGGGCAGGCGTCAGCCCTCTATATATGATCTTACAACTATGCGGAGACCTGTATTTTTAGTAAAAAGTTGCCCGGTCCTCGTCACTACGGCCCCCTTTGTGAAGAGGCACCCCTTATCCTACCCTAAAACTCACTTTTTCTCAAACATGTTGCCAAGATGCAAGACATAGCTAGGTGACTACTGATATGAGGTATTCAAATTACAATCATGCTTTGAATAAATGAACACTAAATGGCCCCTCCTATAATTTAAAGGCCTATAGATTCAAGACATTTAGTGGCTCTTCAGATGCATGCATACTTAAAGTTATCCAACCTGTGCTTATCTCCTAGTTTCCAACAGAACATGTACATGAAATCAACCATATCTCAGTCCCAACCAATGCTACGAGAAAAGAAATATTATCTTTTATTATTGACTTAGAGCATATGATGCGAGTGTGAGATGGCTCGGGCATGTTAAAAGGAGAAGCATAGACGCCCCAGTCAAGAGGTGTGAGAGGTTGGCCTTGGGAGTAAGAGGAAGGGTAGAGGTAGGCCAAAGAAGTCTTGGAAGAGGTGGCCAGACGAGACATGGCGCAACTTGAGCTGACCAAGGACATGACCCTTGCTAGAAGGTTGTGGAGGTTGAGGATTAGGATAAAAGGTTAGTGGGTAGTCGAGCGTTTCCCTTTGTCTACATTAGTTCAATAGTTTGGTGTTAGTATGGTACCCCTTTTATTCTTAATTTGCTATTATCGCATATCTTGTATTGTTATTACTTGCCGTCAGTACTCCCTTAGTTTGCTATCACTACATACCTTGTATTGTTGTTACTTATTATAAGTACTTCTTTCATATTCTCTATTGCTATCTTGGATTTAGTTTTCTAAATATATTGTCTTGTTATCAGTGCTTCTTCCATCTTTTCTTTAACCGAGGTTCTATCGAAAACAGTATCTCTATCCTTCTAGGGTTAGGAGTAAGGTTGCGAACATCTTACCCTCCCCAGACCCAACTTATAAGATTAACTGGGTTGTTGTTGTTGACTTAGGGCATATGATTGTGCTTGAGAAGAAACAACTTCTTAAATGTAAGTTCTTTGTAGGGAGATTTAGGATTTAAGCTCTGTTGATTCAACCTATAAGGTTCTTAAAATTGACCCCCATTGTATTTTTTATAGATTCATAGCTACTATTTGTTATGATTTTAGTGATTTTTTACACAAACTTATACTTATCATCGAAAGTACTAAATTAATATGAACATACACCGTTATGAGACCCAACATTCAATAAGATGAATGTACTAACAAATTCACACTAAATGTAAGCTCATCGTAAGCAAAGACAAATTCAAGATTTAAGCTCTATGGATTCAACCAATAAGGTTCTTAACATTGAAACCCATTGTATTTTTTTATTGATTTATGTCTACTATTTGTTATGATTTTTGTGAATTTTTACACAAATTTTTGCTCGAAAAGTACTGAATTCATGTGAACATGCGCATCTATGAGACCCAACATTCAGCAAGATACAACAACAACAATAACCCAGTATAATCCCACTAGTGGGGTCTGAGGAGGGTAGTTTGTACGCAGACCTTACCCCTACCCTGGGGTAGAGAGGCTGTTTCCGATAGACCCTCGGCTCCCTTCCTTCAAGAACTCTCCACCTTGCTCTTGGAAGGTGCTCAGTTCGGAATCAGAGTTCTTGGTTAAATGATGAAGCACAATGTAGAAAAGCAGAGTTCTAACAAGCACAAACTAACAAGGCTAAGTTGTGAAGTTGCATAGGAAGTAGATTAATAGACCTAAGATATGCAGTCATAAACATTTATGTACAATGTTAAGCAAGCAAAAAATCCAGATTGGCCAATGAAAAAAGCGTTAGGTCCCTGTGGGGCATGGATTACAAAATAGCAAGTTGCGTCGAGTATTAATTTCCATTAACTTGCAGCAGACATAGTTCAACCACAAGCTTCACAAAAATCTGACAACAATTAGCAGTCTCAACAACTTATCTCAACCACCGTGCTCCCCAGAATCAAAACCAAACTTGCTTCCGCCCCAGGCAATGTAACTGTCCTGTGATCCAAAATCCTACAGAAATTTGATGTCGAATATAAATTAAGGCACATATAAGAATAATAACATAAACAAAGAAGACACAAAGAATTTTATTTTATAAACGTTATGGCAAATACAAGAATAGACTTACAAGTTGACTAAGTCGAAAATCAGGTGGTGTGTCCATGTCTATGTTGGCTGGATCAAGAACCAAATGTTGGCACTCCTCCAAATCCTTCTTCAGATCCTCTGGTCCTAATTGAGCATAATCAGCAAGACTAGGTTTAGAGTTCTCTTTGTCATTTTCATTTCCATCCCTATTTGGAGATTGGCTAGCAAGAAGATCATCACATAAGGATAGCCCTTCTACAAGTTGCTGAGAATCTAGCAAATACTGTGACTCACTATCCCACCATTTCGGGTCATCACCAGTCTCGTTATCAACTTTTGTCCCAGTTTCATCAATTTGGTTCTCTATGATTTGATCTTGATTCTCAGTCTGCTCAGGAAGAGCTCTCATGTCATCTTCTATGTAATCCACGTCATGAAACTGAATACAAAAGCAAGAGGAAACATATTAAGAAAAAACCATTGTACAACAAACTAGTAGTCGGACTTCTTTACTCAAGTAATGTCCTATGAACCGAAAAAGAAAAAGAAGCTACATGATAATGAATAAGAGCACTATTATTAATCATGGGGTTCCGAGGACATGGACCTTTTTTCTGGGATAAATATACCGGTTGAGCTCTCAAGTGGATCTCATAATATCCCACTTACACAGTCGAGAGAAATGTGATGCTTTTATATGCTTGAGTTGATAGACATCCATGTCCTGACCTCAACTTCTCAATCTGAATTAGTATGCATATTCACAAACTTAAGCCCCCAAAAGCCTCCTATTTACTTAGGATGCGGCAGACTCACCTCCGAATTACAGAAGTAGAAAAAGAATGTTAAATAACCTGATATACAATTTTTTTATCAGTGGATAGGTACAAGGGTAAGTCGTTTAACTTTGAACTCATAGATTATAGAATAAAAAGGGCAGCCCGGTGCACTAAGCTCCCGCTATGTGCGGGATCCGGGGAAGGGCCGGAACCACAAGGATCTATTGTACGCAGCCTTACCCTGCATTTCTACAAGACGTTGTTTTCACGTCTTGAACCCGTGACTTCCAGGTCACATGGCATACCACTTACGCCAAGGCTCCCCTTCGTAGATTATAGAATGATCAACAATATTAAATCCATTCCATCCGGAGGGTGCTTCTTTCTTGATAAGCAGACAAGTGTTTACTGATGTAAACAGAACTAACGAGCTGCTCTCACTGTACAATAAAAAAGCCAAAACCACTGGAAATGTACAGTACAAAAAACAAAATCTCAGCCCCCATTCTGAAGAGAGCTGATAAATTCTAGCATCGTGTCTGCGTCATGTACATCCTCAAAGTTGCACCAAATAACTAATAAAGACCCATACTTCAGTCTAAGTATATTTTCATTGTTCCGGTCTGCAGTATGCTTCTGTTAATTTTGGTGCAAGAATAAACTTTTAGAAAGTGCTATCTTATCTATTTCTTTTTAAATTTCTGGGACAGTGTAGAATGGAGAAACTTACTAAATTGATTTACTCTTATGTAACATTAACATTGACCGGCACCAATGAGAACATTACACATGGTAATACCTGGGTAATGGGATTGATGCCAGAAGCGGCAATTTGCTGTCTTGCATCCATACTTGAAGATAGCCTCTCACCGCAAGGGGGTTCGGGAGTCACAGACTTGGGGGTATGTGGATCAACCTTAGCAACCAGACATTCAGAGTCCTCGGGCAATTCTTCTTCAATTTTTTCACCTTGCTTGACCTGCTGCTGCTGCTGATAAAATACTTTAGACACAACATATTCCCCTTCCCTTTCATCTTCCCCAGTTCCTAGGTGATATTGGTGCATCACCCAATTTGTCTTCTCGGCTTTCCCGCCCTTAATCGGGCTTACATAAAGAACCATAATCTTCTTACACCCTCTTTGAATTCCATCCAAGATAACAGGTTTTGTCCGACCAGTCTTATGCCAACGGACATCACCGAAATTATCACCATGTATTTTCCTACGCTTACGCGTTCCTGTATTATAAGCCTTAACTGCTCGGTGAAAGAAGTGCGAGACACTTCCGTCCTGCTTAACACCTACAAAACTTGTATTCAGCATAAACGAAAAATCCATAATAAACCAAAAACAGAAAGTGCAAGAACAGTCACGGGTCCGGGCCGTGGAAGCAGCCACTAATGCCTGCGCTAGGTAGGTTGTCTACATCACATGCCTTGGGGTGCGGCCCTTTCCCGGACCCTGCATGAATGCGGGATGCTTTGTGCACCGGGCTGCCTTTTTAAAGTGCAAGAACAGGAATAGGATGTCTTTTTTATACCTGGTAAATTTTGAGGGTGTGTATAGCAGATCCCATCATCTTCATCAACAGTTGGAATGAACTCATCAATAAAAGGATGGGAATTCCAATTGCCAACTCCGACTTTTCCAAGTAAGTGCCAAATAATCTCTTGATCAGTTGGATCAAATTTTACACCTCTGGGTAATCCTGGCCAGTCATTGCTGACCTGGAAAGACCAACTTTAACGTATCAGTTAAAGGTACCACGACTATGGATTTCCTTTGTTTCCTTTTCCTTCCGTTCAAAATTTATTTATCTTTTTGCTTTTCATGCAGAGGAAGAAATCTTATTAAACTACATAGCTAGAATATCAACAAATAGAGAGAGAAGTGAAATTCGTGTGACAAGACTCTTACATCGTTATTATCAATGATAAACTGGCAGTTAGGGCAAGCTTTTGTGGGGTTGCTCTTCCAATTCACCGCTCCAGGATCACCTGATGCACTCTTAATTTTTGTTGCAATTCTCTTACTGTCAACTAACCATGACGGCCTGCAATGCATAAACCATAACTATGATCTTGAAGCGCTCTCTTAGTTTCAATAAAGAACTACATCATTAAAACATGGATAACCTTCTAAATCTATAGCACATATGATGGAATTAGAAAAAAGATCTCCCCCTCGGAAATTACTAACTTTACTTATTCCAAGCATGAGAAGTAAGATGAAATAGCAACCTCTTCCATTTTTGTAGAAAATGCAGAGAATCTCTAGAGTTGAAAATCCCAAGTGCAATCCCTCGAGCTTGGGATTAAGCCCTTGAAGCTAAGCTGTTGTTGTTGTATTTGATTCAACTATTTAGGGTGAATTCATTTTCCTAATTTAGCATACATCAAACTGGAAAATTCATCTTGTTTGCCACAATAAGCATGGGAATTTCCCTTTGCTTCCAGCATACTAAATATCCTTACAGAGAATATGACTTATTATTAAAACCGAAGAGAGGAAAGTAGATAACAAACAAGCACTCTTCCCTTTACTTCGAAATCAACATCAACAACATACCACAAGTGGGGTCTGGGGAGGGTAGTGTAGCGTTAAATCAAAGAAACAAATCCACTAGATTCTTTTGAACAGACAAGCACATTGAAGTGTAAATGAATAACACATTGATAATTCCACGTAATCAGGTGTCACAATCATACTCCAAAAAGACTATCTTTGACATAGCCTAGTTGTCAAAGTGAAGATGATTTAAATCTAAAATTCAGAACTTGAGACTCCCAGATTAGTACATACTGAGAAATTTGTGTGGATGGAAGAATTTTGGTAGGTTATTACATTAGCCCAATCATCTGGAAAAAATAGTAACATCGCATAGTATTACTACATGAAAGAAAACCAAAAATTAACATCCTGCAAATGCTAAACAAAAGCAGAAACATGACAACCAAGCTTTTCCAGAAAGTACCATAACATTTGTATCCAATTACTAAGTAATCATCTATGCCTCAATCCCAAAAAAAAAACTTGTTTTAATAACCAAGAATGCCAAAGTACCAATAGCGCATGGTTCAAATCTCAGTGGATAATGGGCCTGCCTTTCTACCCTTCTCCACTTGAATACTAGGGGTTCAAACTCATGACGTGCATCTAAACCACACATCACGCTCTTAACACTAGACCAAAGCCCGGGGGCAATCCCAAATTAATTGGGAACAATATTTATGATCATTGAAAAGCTCTTTAGACAAGTACCAAATTTACCTCATAGAACAATTAGTTCGATTCATGCATAAATTATTTCCAACTGGGAGTATGAAGTAGAAAGTTCGGAGCTAAATCAAGAAAACAACATCAAAATACACTAGTACTATCAAACAAATTTTTTGCTTAAAACCCCCAAAACCTGGAAAAAGAAGAGTAACAAGCATCTAAGTAACAAGCTCAAATGATTCAATCTATCTCTTTTATAAGCTCCATCACTGAAAAAACTGCGAATATAATTGGTTCTTACGTGCTCAGCCCTCTTTGGGTATTCCACTAAGAACCAATAACACAACATAAAGATGTCAACCTCATTCAACCAAGGAAACCCCTTTAAACTGATGCATGGAAGAAGATAAAAACATTAGAACCTACTACCACTCTTAGAGCAACACTAATTGTTCGGTTAGTTTTTAAACAAAAAGACTCCAAATCAAGCCAAAGTATCTGCTAGTACTCAATAGACAAATACAACTTTACTCGTTCATCAAAATCATATCTTTAAGTCATTCCTTGACTTCAAGAACCCAATAACAAGTAAGGAGCCAGACCTCATGCGACCAACGAAACCCATTCACCGAAAGGAACCATCAAAACATATTACAATTCTTAAAGTATCACTCATTGGTCAATTTTGAGTTTTTGGCCAAAGTATCTGCTCAGAAAAAACTCAATAGACAAATACAACTTTACCTATTCATCAAAATCACAACTTTAAGTCATCCCTCGACTTAAAATACCTAGCAGCAGGTCAAGAATATAGTCTTTCTAGTAAACTCAACATCGCCCCCCCCCCCCAAAACCAACCCAACAAAAACAAATAAAAACTCAATACAGAAAATACAACATGACCCATTATCCAAAATCAGTACTTGAGTCAATCCATGACTTCAACATACAATAGTAAAAATCCAATCTTTCTCATATCAGTTTACTGATTATGTAAATATAAATTGAAACTTTAGCAGCCATAAGTCAAGCATATAGTTATTTAAATAAAAGATACAAGAGGGTGTCAAAGTAAAAGGGAATCTGCATACCGAGCCATTGAAGAATGATGTGATCAAGAGCATGAAAAACCCTTTGTTGGTTTTTTTCTACTTTTGGGGTTATCTTGGAATGTCCCAAAAAGTACACTCCTAGTGGTTTCTTTGTAGCTTCCCATCTTTTTATAATTATTTTTTCAGGTATTTTTGAAGTTTAAAAACGTGTTTCTTTTGTACGATGTGACGACTAAAGACTGACATAAAAAAGACCACAGGTGCACAAGAGGTGAAAGAAAAAGGGGATATTTCTCTTTTGTCCCTCAAACAATTGCAGATTTTGTTTTGGTCCCTATTGTATTTGACAAAGGGCCAAATGTCCCTCCATTTAAATGAGGGGTATATTTGAACCCAAAGTATGACTGCAGGATATAGATAACCCAATAGTATAACGAGGGGTATTCTTAGACCATTTTCGAAAATAGAGAAGTATATTTGGCTCTTTGCCGTATTGTATTTGATTAAAATTTAAACATACACTTTTGATCCCTCTACTTGTAAATCTTCAGCATTACACCATTTTAATTCTCAATGCATTATGTTAAGTTTATATTATTCCTCATTATTCGACACTAATGTAATTTTAAAAAGAGTTTCAATACAATGTGTTTCCTATATAAAGGACTAAAAATATACATTTTTATTAATTAAAAATTAAATACATTGAGTTATATATCACAAGGATCAAAATTAAAATTTATTACTAATTAGGGGATCAAAAATGCTACTTATTTTACATTCAAAAATATGGCATAGTGGTCAATAAAGTGGGTTAAGACCGTAAAGTTTCAAGTTCTAATTCCAACGGACGCAAAAATATTATTTTATCCGTTTTAATTTATGTGAATTTATTCGTCTGTAATACGGAGTTTAAGAAAAAAAAATTTAAACTTGTGGTATAAAATAAATAAATTATTGTATAAAAATAAATTATTTTTAAATATAAAAATAAATTATTCTTTATTGGTACGGAATAAAAAAAAAATATATTCATATAAATGAAAACGACAGTACGTGCTTCTTTCTCGTGTGTTTTAAGTTTAAATAGAGGTAACAGACTAATTATTGGTCAAGATACGCGCAAGAAATGTTGAAAATGTTATTGTCCCAAAGAGAAACCAGATTCGAGGAATTTACATGATTAGTGACATTAGAGTTTAGAAAAGTGACATTGACCCTTAGGATTGAAACAAATGCAAACTATCCCTTATTGAAGTGGCCAAGAACTTTCATTTGGTCTGAAATAAAAGAGACCAGATCACTTGGAATTTTAGAAAGTACACCAGAAACATATAACAAAGTGATAAGCATAGTACATATTGTATGGTCCAAAATTTAGATCTAGGTTTAGGAGTGGGTATTCGGACAGTTTGGATTGAATATGAAAATTTCGATTTGAATTTTTGATTTTTGGATTAAAGAAATGACAATTCAAATCCAATCCAAATTAGCTCGGATTGGATCGGACTTTTAAGTTCGATTTCAGATTAATCGGTTTGGATATTTTGGATTTTCGATTTTGAGCTTATAAGTTGAGATATTTCTTCTTTTATACAAAAATGAATATCCAAATAAATTGCCTGAAAAGTTTCGCATTCTCACCACAATCTTCCAAATAAAGTATTAAAGTAATAGCATTATTATCAAGAAAATGCAACAGAGTCATTAATATGGCTGATAAGAAGTAGCTATAGCAAAATCATATCCAAATAGGAAAGTATTATGACAACAAACAATAACAACCCAGTAAAATCCCACTAATGGGGTCTAGGGAGGGTAGTGTGTACGCAGACCTTACCCCTACCCCGAAGGAGTAGAGAGGCTGTTTCCGAAAGACCCTCGGCTCAAGAAAACAAAAAGACAAAAGGACAAAAGGAGACAATATTAGTATCACCACAGCAATCATGAGAAAAATAAGAACACCAATAAAATCCAGAATAAATATGCAAAGCAAAAGCGATAGCTAGTAAATAGGTTCTGCACTGAAAAGCGAAATAGTAAGACACAACATTGCAACTAGCTATCTTAGACAAAAATTCTACCTGGCTATTCCCACAATTGTACGAAGTAAGGCAAGACTCAACTATCTCCTAACCTACAACCCCAATACTTGACCTCCACGTCTTCCTATCAAGTGTCATGTCCTCGGAAATCTGGAACCTCGCTATATCCTGCCTGATCACCTCTCCTCAGCCCTCTACCTCTTTTCGTTCCCTCCATAACCAACCGCTCACACCTCCGTACCGGAGCATCTGGGCTTCTCCTCTGAACATGTCCGAACCATCTAAGCCTCGCTTCCCGCATCTTATCATCAATGGGAGTCACGTGCACCTTCTCCCGAATATCATCATTCCTAATCTTATTTATTCTAGTGTGCCCGCACATCCACCTCAACATCCTCATTTCTACTACTTTTATCTTCTGGATATGTGAGTTCTTAACGGGCCAACACTCAGCCTCGTACATCATGCCGGTCTAACCACCGCTTTATAGAACTTACTTTTGAGTATCGGTGGCACTCTCTTGTCATACAGGACTCTAGATGCTAATCTCCACTTCATCCATCCTACCCCAATACGGTGTGTGCCATCCTCGTAGATCTTTCATCCCTCATGGGTAGCCGAAACAAGGTAATTGAAGCTGCCTCTACTCGGGATGACTTGTGATTCAAGCCTCACATCCACGCCTACTTCCACCGGCTCAGCGTTGAACTTATACTCCAGGTATTCCATCTTCGTCCTGCTCAGCTTGAAACCCTTAGACTCAAGAGGTTGTCTCTAAACCTCCAGCCTCTCGTTAACACCGGCTAGCGACTCATCAATCAGAACTATGTCATCAGCGAATAGCATGCACCATGGCACCTCCCCTTGAATATGGTGCGTCAACGCGTCCATCACTAGGGAGAATAAGAACGGACTGAGCGCAGAAGATTGGTATAACCCTATTACAACCGGAAAATGCTCAGAGTCGCCTCCTACTATTCTAACTCGAGTCTTAGCCCCATCATACATGTCCTTAATCACCATAATGTAGGGAACCGACATATCTTTTGCCTCCAGACATCTCCAGAGAACTTCTCTAGGTACCTTGTCATACGCTTTCTCTAGGTCAATAAATACCATGTGCGGATCCTTCTTCTTCTCTCTGTACAGTTCTACCAACCTCCTAACAAGGTATATAGCTTCTGTAGTCGAACGACCTGGCATGAACCCGAACTAGTTGTCGGATACATACATTATCATCCTCATCCTCGCTTCAACCACCCACTTTCACACTTTTATGGTATGACTCAGTAATTTGATACCCTTATATTATGACAATAACTTAGTAATTAATCTTGAATATATGAGATAATATCTAATGGGTAGGGTGTTGAACTTATTACTACTAGCATATGGATAATAAACTAAATATAAAGAATAAAAAGTTCAGATTTTCGGATATCCAAAATTCTGAAGTACCAAATTCATTATCCAATCCAAAATCCAAAATTTTTAAAAATCAAATCCAAAATCCAATTTGTAATCCAAAAACCAAACCAAAAATCCAAAAAAAAATCGAATTTGAATTTGGATTTCGGGTTTGCCCAAACTATGCCAGAGAGCAATAAATAATAATAAATGGCATTCAAGTAAATAAATGAATAGAGGTCACCCGACAAAGGTGTTATTCCCCAATAATTCCTCTGACAGTGATGGAAAATGATGAGCCTTTGAATATTCCAATTCCTCCTGGATCGGGGAAGAAAAGATAGATAAAGATGTAAAAAATGATTTTTGTATGTATGTGATAAAGAGAAAATCTTTAGAGAATGTCAATACATTGTTCTTTACAAAAACTGTTAAATCCTCCTCTATAACGACATGCCTTTTTTTTTATAAGAGTACATAAGTCACAAAACCCTAGAAAATACAACCAGAAGGAATATTCACTGGAATATTCTCTAGAGAATAGTAATCCTAGAACTACCCGTTACTGTTTTCTGAAGATGAGTACTCACCCTCGTCCTTGTCTTCTATCGAGTCACTTCGACCTTGTCGACGGCCTGTTATCTCCTTGTGATGTCGACCCTCTGAAGTCAGGTCATCGTATCTTTTTGCCAACACGTGGCAGCCTCCCAAAGCTTCATTCATGTCGACTTGGTCAATATATAGCATGAAACCCATACAAATATAATCTTCCTTACAGACACAATGGTTCTTAACTAAAAAAGTTTTAGAGAGTCAAATAACACTATTCTTATTTTGTTTAAATAAAAGAAATATAAAAGAAAAATATCAACAATGAATTGTTTGAAATTTTGGAGGTACAATAAACTAATTTATATTAAATTCGTAACAATAATAACTCTTCTTTACAGTAAAATGATGCTCGACCAAGAAAAGCAACAACAAAAAAACTGAAAACGTATAAAACTGAAAATAGAGGAAAAGATATTGTTAAATGGGAGTAAACTTAAGTTCTTTGACTTCCGTCGGAACCAATAAAAAGTACATATATTTTGTTGATTTGCATTCCCTAATAATTTGAATCATTTTCTCCAAATATTTCTTATTAGTACAGTAGTAATAGATTATATAGGTTGATTTTGCATTACATATTTGAATAATATTGTCTAAATAGAGGCGTATCAAGAATTTTACGAGCATGAGTGCACCACTATCCTTAGATAAATGTATGATTTGATAATATAATTTTTTTTACAATAACATAAGTTGACGAGCAAACTCTAATTGATATTATTAGTATTATTTATGTCCAATGAGTTTTCATACTTTGAAAACTATCAATAATAAAATCATTACTTACCCTTTTAAGTATCTTACGTTATTTATAGCAAAAAAATCATTAAAAAATTCTTCATCCATCCGATACATAGATCATTTTATGTACTTCTATTTCCCTATAGATATGTGATTTATATTATTAATTTTTTATTATAGTGGGAGTTTAAGATTTATTAATTTTTTTATCTTTTCTTGGTACTT